AAGTTACTCACACATGATATATCTTGAGTGGGTGAGTTGGGTTTAACGCCGCTTTTAACATTATTCCAGTTATATCACGGCGTGTCAGCTTAATGTGTGAGGAAAGCCCGAAATGATGCAGGTCTCAGACATTTACCACTTCGGTGAAACCCACGAGCACGGGTATGGTGCTGACAAACCTAGAAACATAATCGGGGCGAACCGGGATTCGAACCCACAATCATTGGTTTCTGGCGTGCCCAAGGGACGCAACTCTGCACAGCGAATCGCGGCGCCTTAGACGACTGGGCCACCCGTGCCCCCTACTCACGCATGATATACCTTGACTTCTGTCAGAGTGGGTGATGTGTGGGGTGTAGAGATTGGGTGTATATACATGTGTGTTTCCTGATATGAAAACCACCAGAAAAGATATATGGTTGAATGGAAACCAGCCTTAAACCAGCAGTAAACTTGACATTTGTAAGTTTCTGGATATACAGGAACGACAGAAACCTAATATTAACTAGAAATAAACTGGTCTGAAAGTGGGTAATAAAATCAAGTCATAATCCGAGCAACGTAAATTCCGTAAACCCACAGCAGCATGATCGGAAATCCACAGATAACCGGGTAATTTTCCCAAGATCATAGAAACCGCCACCGTGCTCTAGTGGACAGAGAGTCTGCCCGGAGAGCGGAAGGTCCAGGGTTCGATCCATGGCTACGTCATAACACTTCTCAGTTGTTAAAAGACGTTAACAGATGATACTTGTTGTTACCCTGCCTGGGCTAAAACAAGGACTGTCGGCTCAGAGTCAGTATAGTGTGTCTGAGTGGGTATTCATGTTAAACTGCGGCATGGTATGTAAGTCGGCATTAATCCGGACTAGTACAAGCAGCCACACGAACACACACACACTTGCATGCACGTCGCAATATGAGTGCAATAAGCTTGAACGTTTTTTAGCTTGAATAGTTTGATAGTGCTAGCCCACTGAGATACCATTCAACCCATGAATACCCCACTCAGACCCAGCATACAGAGTCCGTACTTAAACAATAAAGTCTTATCCCAAATATAACATTGGACAAACCAGTAAAAGAACATCAAAAGCAAAACAAAATCGGCCGTGAAGCACGAGAAAGCTGCCTTCTGATTGGCTAATGTCGACTTCTTGTCAGTCATTCCATTGGTCGGTCAAAGTTCGTGCAATGTTAGTCTGACGTGACCCGTAATGGGGTGTCCTCAGATCTTTGTTTAGCGGTAGCGAGAACTAAGATCTGATTTTAATGAGATTGGTGAAAATCCAAAATGAAACAGGTTTTCAGCAACCCATGTTTGTCAGGCTAGCTGACTTTGTTGAGTATGTAGCCGTAACTTAATTGCTCGGATCGATGCTAGTAATATCAATCACTTGATTGTCTGGTCCAGACTCGATTTTATTACAAATAATAGATTGCAGCGACAAACAAACAAACAAGCTAAGCACGATATGACGATTGACATCATATCTTTTCATAATCACGATTGGTCCAACAAGTATCAAGTTGAAAAATAAAAACAATCATAAAGTGGTCAAACAGTTGTTATTAGTACTCGCATAGCAAATAACCAGGCATTTCAAACATCATTTTCTGCACATGTTCACACAAAATAAATTTTAAGTTCGTTATAACCGTAATTCGTTATAAGTTTATATACAATATATATACAGCATGAGATCGGTTCTTTATATCCGTCAGTTGGTTATCAGCGTGTTCGTTATAAACGTAGTTAACTGTATTTATCATCCAAAACAGGCTCACACAGGAGATATCGTTTGGGTGAAATCAAGTGTTATTACCCAAGTGGTGAGGATACAGGTAGTAAGAAACTTATTCCGTACGTCACACGTGTGTCGTACAAGGTTGACCTCGTTTTATTCGTTTTGATTGGATAAACGTGACCTCTGACACACCGAGACTACTTATTTCACCTGGAAACATATGGAACAAGTCATGGGACTTCATTTTTTCTTTGATGCGTCAAATTTGGAAATGTCTTCCATAAAGCTTTACTGGGACCTTGAATGTTGTAACCTTGGTCAAACAACTTTGAAACAAGAGTCGTATGACGTCCTTTGAAATATTCGTAGAAAGAGCATGCTCAAATGTACCTCAAAAGTTGTGAAGTTTAAACACCAAAGGCTTGAGCTGCTGGAGTATTACTCGATATACGGGGAAAGTTGACTATTGGCCTTGTGGAGAGTGTTTTGTCACTTTGAATCTTTTTGAAAAGATGAGGCAGTCCCACTGGTCTCCTTGGTTCAGGTGGGTAAATCACTGGAAGGGAATGGCTATATGATGGTTATTGAACAATATCAGATCATCGATGTACCTGAAGCTTTCGTTAAACTTCTTTGCCAGATTAACTTTAACGTCTTTGATAGGCATTTAGAAGTTGGAGTACTAAGTAAAGATAAGAATTTATGGATGAACAACTTCTTTATATTATGTATAAAGAAGTTGTTCATCCATAAATTCTTATCCTTACTCAGATTAACTTTCTTGGACTTTGCCAATCAGAGGACAAATTCCGATTCATGAAGAAACAGATCAGCAAGAAGGGGAGCATATGGGGACGCCTACTTCTTGGCTAAATGTCTTATCCCGTATTTTACATAAATGTTATCAATGAGGAAGTCCAGCATTTCACATAATGTTTTCTCCACCAACATCCGATGGCATTTGCTTTCATTTTTGACAAATTGCCCTGAACCTCTGAAGATTGAGTGATTGAGTGAGTGATTGAGTGAGTGATTGAGTGAGTGATTGAGTGAGTGAGTGAGTGAGTGAGTGAGTGAGTGAGTGAGTGAGTGAGTGAGTGAGTGAGTGAGTGAGTGAGTGAGTTTGATTTTACGCCGCTTTTAGCAATATTCCAGCAATATCACGGCGGGGGACACCAGAAATGGGCTTCACACATTGTACCCATGTCGGGAATCGAACCCGGGTTTTCGGCGTGACGAGCGAACGCCTTAACCACTAGGATACCCGACCGCCCCTCCTGAACCTCTGAAGATAGATATGTTACCATGGATCAAGGAATGGAGTTTTCCTTTAGTTTGCCATGTGGTATATCGGTGTACAACGTTAAAAACTTAAATGTTTCGACAGAATTGAACTTAGTTCTTTTCTGAGATTGCAAAAGGTCAAGCAAATCCTTTGAGTTTTGGGGAATCCACAAGGTTTTTTTGTCTATTCATGTTGTAAACATATACAATGTTACGAATAGGATTCCAACAGGTGAATGGTGAATGCATTTGTATGTATAATATAGACTTGACCGCTACCTTAATCCCCATTTCAAGTCAACGCACTTTATCTATGGGGTCACATGTAAATTTAAAAGAGTTAGCAAAAGAGAACCATTGAGTCATTGAGTCATGTGCTAATAACCTTCCCATATTTATATCCAATATACCAGTTAAAGGTTGTTAACACAGACCAAACCCGAAAAATGTGATGACAAAAAAAGCCGAAAAAGCCGGAAGTATAAATATATTTAAATATATCATTGTAAAAACATGGACTAAAAAGGACTGAAATCCACATTGTCCTCGAAATTGATTTCACGTAAAACAAATTCTAAGAATGAGGGTGTCCCCCGCCGCGATATTGCTGGAATATTGCTAAAAGCGGCGTAAAACCATACTCACTCACTCACTCACTAAGAATTGAGAGAGGGATCGAATATATGTATAATTGAATGGTACTTTCCTAGTTCAAAATCAACCAGCAACAAAAGCATTTTGCGACTGCCTACCTATTATGGAATCCTAGAAGAGACACTTAGACGTTGTCGCTTTTTGCTAAAGATGACGTATTATGGTTAGAACGTTTTCTAAAATGTCTTCTTAATTTTTTTTAGCTATCTGGGCGCTTTTTATTCAATAATAATTTGAATAGTATTTCAAATATATCACGACCACCACCACCCATACACCCAGGTCACATTGGCGACTAAATGGATCTGGTGGTCAGGTCATAACAGGCGACCAAATGGATCGTGTGGTCAGTTCACAATGGCGACGAAATGGATCTGGTGGTCAGGTCATGACAGGCGACTAAATGGATTGTGTGGTCAGTTCACATTGGCGACGAAATGGATCTGGTGGTCAGGTCACATTGGCGACTAAATGGATCTGGTTGTCAGGTCATAACAGGCGACCAAATGGATCGTGTGGTCAGTTCACAATGGCGACGAAATGGATCTGGTTGTCAGGTCATAACAATTGACTAAATGGATCTGGTGGTCAGGTCATAACGGGTGACTAAATGGATCTTGTGGTCAGGTCATAACAGGCGACTAAATGGATCTGGTGGTCAAGTTATAACAATTGACTAAATGGATCTGGTTGTCAGGTCATAACAATTGACTAAATGGATCTGGGGGTCAGGTCATAACGGGTGACTAAATGGATCTGGTGGTCAGGTCATAACAGGCGACTAAATGGATCTGGTGGTCAAGTTATAACAATTGACTAAATGGATCTGGTTGTCAGGTCATAACAATTGACTAAATAGATCGGGTGGTCAGGTCACATTGACGACTAAATGGATCGAGTGGTCAGGTCATAACAGGCGACTAAATGGATCTGGTTGTCAGGTCATAACAATTGACTAAATGGATCGGGTGGTCAGATCATATTGGCGACTAAATGGATCGAGTGGTCAGGTCGCAATGGCGACTAAATTGATCTGGTTGTCAGGTCATAACAATTGACAAAACGGATCGTGTGGTCAGGTCACATTGGCGACGAAACACCATACCTGTGCTCGTTGGTTTCACCAAAGTAATAAACATCTAAGACCTGCATCCTCTCGGGCTTTCCTCCCACATCAAGCTGACACGCCTTGTAAAATGACGACTGCCCGAAACGGCGCTAAACTAAACTCACTCACACATCAGGATACACAATGTTTATTTCGGTAAAAACACGTGCAACCATAATACCAGAAATGGTAACTGATTTCTTTCATTAACTATCATCTTTGAGATAATATAAACTAGCCCACATTTGTTCCAGATCGTTAACGTCACACACATTTAATCGTATTTGTTCAAGGTCAAGGTCGTGTGTCAGACACAACTTGCCTTCAGCGTCCGAGTACACGATTGGTCCCGTTGTGTTAACTCCGTACCAGAAGTGCTCAGTGTTAAAACAGTGTTCCTCGTTCATTATTAGATTCATCGTGTTCTTATTAGGTACAATACACCTCCCTTTGTGCCGAAACCTCCCCTGTGAGTCTACAGTAAAATGATTTTCAGGGACAATCACAAAGCTACCACACTTTCTCTTTGTCGGGACGAGAGTGTTATTTTCCACAGTTAAACAATGAGATGTGTTCACGTTGAGAAATTCACCAAAATACACGCTGTTGTTCGCCGGAACCTCTGCTTCAGGAAAGATGTGCTCCAGGTACCATGTGAAATTCTTACAATTCAGTTGTCGCCGTAAAGATCGTCGTTCATCAATTGTAACCATCTCCTGCTGTGAGAACAGGGGCAGGAACCCAAGCAAGCCTCTGATAGATCTCTCGACAATGTGTTTATATTCATCCATCCACACATTCGCGACTCGCAACAAGTTCTTGGCAAGAATCACCAGCGCCGGTCCCCCGAAGGAGTACGGAAGAGGTCTGTACAGATGTCCCACTGTCGAGCAAGGGATGGTCTCGACAAGTCCCCCACACATCCAGGTTCGGAACGCCAGCTCAAAGTGTTCCCCGCCCCAGATCTCTAGGTTGGGATCGAACCCGCCCATGGCGAAAAAGTGTTCCCTGTTGACAGCTATGGCACAGCCAACGAGTGAAGGGGAGGGGTACGGCTCACTGTCTGTACTCCGTATCTGTGACAAGTAGGGGGGCGGGGAATACCAGGCAAACCTGAAACAGAGTACACATGATTATTGTTCAACGCCACTCTCAGCAAAATTAAAACAATATGACGGAGGTCTGGAAATAGTCGAATCTGGACCAGATAATTCAGTGATTGATATTATGAGGAACGACCTACGCTTTCGGCGTATGATGACACCCTATCAAGCAAGTCACCGAGTCTAACCACCCGATCTATTAAGTCAACATTGACGTCCAGTATAGACTGCTGGAGATCTGTTCTAAGCCGGAATCCCCACTCGATACGTACATGTGTCAGGACAGGTGGGTATACCAGTGACTCGGGTACAATGTGAAAGGCCAATTTCTCGATATGGCCAGTGCCGTAGCCAGCCGGGGGGCAGGGAGGGCAGTTGCCCCCCTAGATTTTTTATAGAAAGCAGTTTTATTTCAATAAAGTTGGGGACAAGTGATACTTGTACAAATATTGGACCGAGCGCCAAACAGGGTTACAACAAGTACCATCTTTTAACGTCTTTTGGTAAGACGCGGCCGGTATCGAACTCCGGATCTTCCGCTCTCCGAGCAGACGCATTGAGACTGGACTACCACTCACTAATGCCAGCCATAACCGTGGGTTTCACCAAAGATTTATAAATCTAAGACTGCATCGTTTGTGGGTTTCCTCCCACATTAAACAGAAACAGCTCACTCACTCACTCAGAGACCCGTGAAGATCCGGGGTAGATTTGGTCTTCAGCAACCCATGCTTCCCGTAAATGGCAACTATGCTTGTCGTAAGAGGCGACTAACGGGATCGGATGGTCAGGCTCGCTGACTTGGTTGATGCATGTCATCGTATCCCAATTGCGTGGATCGATGCTCGTCATGTCAATCACTGGATTGTCTTGTCCAGACTCGATTATTTACAGACCACCGTCATACAGCTGGGATAGTGCTGAGTGCGGCGTTAAACAACAAACAAACAAACAAAACTCACTCAGAGCTATCTCGTTTACCTCAGATCCCAGCCGAACCCCGCTCTCATCTGCCGCTGTGTTATCCCGGCCTCCACACGCTCGAGCGTTGGCACCAGGGGCTGCAAAACTTTATTGGGAAAACTCCTGAGTCTATCAACCAATGGCTCCAGCCAGCCAGGAGAACACCGCATGTGCGCATCCAGAAACACAATTATCTCCCCTTTAGCTAACTTGGCACCCGCCAACCTTGACCTTACTACACCCTCACGTCGTGAATTTTTTAAGACTGTTATTCGTGAATCTAATATTTTTAAGTATTTATTCAAATGGGGATATGTCAGAAAACTGAAGTCATCGACGAGTATTATTTCTGTCAACAGTTCGCTAGGGGAGTTTTTAATCATGAGGTGTATGTGACGTAAGAGCATCGTCAAAGCCTCGTTGTGAAACACAATGACGACGGAAACGTTAGGCATGCCCGCCATTCTATAATGCACCTGCTTACACCAACTCGTCCTTGCATCGGGAATATTTTCGTCTATAGGGTTGCGGTCAAACTGGCTGACGTTAAAACCAAAGGAAATATTACTTGGAGGCTGGTATTCTTCCTGCATCAGGCGTAGTAGTTTCGTGAGAGTGGCGGTCCTGGTTGCCTCACTTGTGAAAGTCGAACTGTGGAAAGTAAACAAATAACATTATCATAACTTTGCTAAATATACATTTGGGTTTGGGGTCAAGGGTGGCCCAGGCGTGCCAGAAACTTTGGATTGTGAGTTCGAATCCCAGATTCGCCTTGATGATGTTTCTAGATTTGTCAGCACCATACCCGTGATCGTGGCTTTCGCCAAAGTGGTAAACGTCTGAGACATGCATCACTTCAGGATTTCGGGGGCACGGGTGGCCCAGTCGTCTAAGGCGCCGCGATTCGCTGTGCAGAGTTGCGTCCCTTGGGCACGCAAGAAACCTATGGTTGTGGGTTCGAATCCCGGTTCGCCCCGATTATGTTTCTAGGTTTGTCAGCACCATACCCGTGCTCGTGGGTTTCACCGAAGTGGTAAACGTCTGAGACCTGCATCACTTCGGGCTTTCCTCCCACATTAAGCTGACACGCCGTGATATAACTGGAAAACTGTTAAAAGCGGCGTTAAACCCAACTCACTCACTCACTCACTCACTTCAGGATTTCCTCAAATACACGCCGTGATATTACTGAATTACTGTATAAAAGCTGTAAATTGTGAGAATGATTTTTGTGATAATCACATCGGACCTCTTTAACCCGGGCGGTAACGTGTTGCGTGAAATTGTCCGGAAAAATAAGTGTCCGGAGTGACGAATGACTGGAAAGAATTTATTTTCCTTCAGACATTAACAGGAGTTACCAACAATGTCGCCCGAAGTGGTAAACGTCTTACACCTGCCCCCCTTTCCTCCCACGTCAAGCTGCAATGCCGCGATGGAACTGAAATACTTCTCAGGGAAGCGTCACACCAAAGTCACTCACTCCAGCCACAATGTTACAACAACCTGCACTCCTGATGTCAGTGTCAACGTTTGGTGAGTCGCTGGGTGGGATATATTTTGTATCGAGTACAGAAGCTCGATGGAGACATTTTGCAAACACACATAATACATCCCCAAAATGTCATCTCGAGATTATTCTGTAAAAACTTATGAGTGAGTGAGTGAGTGAGTATGGTTTTACGCCGCTTTTAGCAATATTCCAGCAATATCACGGCGGGGGACACCAGAAATGGGCTTCACATATTGTACCCATGTCGGGAATCGGACCCGGGTCTTCGGCGTGACGAGCGAACGCTTTAACCACCAGGCTACCCGACCACCCCAAAAAGTTATGACTAATATTTAGGCATTAACATTAGTTTAACCCTAGAAGCAGTGAAATACGGCGCCATCTGTAGACATTCGGATATATCATGTTACATCATACAATGTCTCCCCAAAGCGTCTTAAGGCAGTGTTTAGAAATTCTGATTATTAGTTCTATATAAATCAACAATAAAAGTCATCTCTTATATGTAACTGTTGCGAAGAATGTCTCAAAAAGAACAGCTTCAAGGTGACAAACAGCACACTGGAATCGTAAAATGAGTATCGGTATAATAAATTGTAATTCTCTCGCCTTCCCTGTATGTGTGGAATGTCCTTGGGAACAGGAATCGGTTGGACAAAATGGCGTCTGTGCATGAATTGCTACAATGTCCTAGAGCTCACCAATCTACTGTTGTGCCCTGGGTCCATTTGCAGAAAGCAAATTTTAGAGCTCTGACTCTATGTAAAAGAATGAGCGTTACGGTGGCTTTGTGTAAGCGGGCCCTGCTTGCTTGCGTGACAACCCCAATTACTTGGATCATGTGCTGACTCGGCAGGTTTTTGTTTTGTGGCATGGACGTTGCTGACTGTACAATATACCTATTTGCACCAGACAGATACGGGTGGCCCAGAACTTTATGCAGCTGCGTTCCCTTGGGCCATCCAATGATCATGGGTTCGTATCAAAGATTCTCCAAGATTGTGGTTCGTGGTTTGTCAGCACCATAGCCGTGCTGGTGTATTTCACCAAAGTAGCAAACGTATCTTACATTACCGTGCTATCAATGAAATAATAATCGCTAACTCACTCACTATTTGACACACAGAGAAGCTCTGAACACTTTGCTTGAAGTCACATACCTGAGAAACGAGTTATTCCCCTTGTCTTTCTCATACTTCAATCCAGTGCTCGGGTAACTTGGTTCAGTTTCTGATTTCGGTGATATGAAACGTCTTTGAACCGCCTCCTTCTGGTGAACCGAAATAGTTCGATCCCCTAAAGGCTCATTAAAATTGGTGAAGCTGACATTATACCCCAGCATATATACAGACCATAGCGAAATGCATATCAAAGCAACCATATGTGGCTTACACGTTGCCATTGGTAACTTGATTTTCTAACTAGAAATCAGAGATTGTCACTTATGTGTTTCATGATAGAGCTCTGTGAAGACTTCTTATGTCGGACACCATGTTCGTGAATCAGAGGTAAATGAAGCTCGTTGTTTTTGAATGCGATAAGGGAGACACGCCTGTGCAGCAACAAGGGAGATAACTCAAGGCTCCCACACCTGCCGCCAGCAGTCAACCATCTGTCTGAGATATAACGGAGATGGTGTTGTATTTATTTTCTCACAAGATCGGCATATTGCGATCAGATGTAGATTGTGGCCACCTGTTCTTATTACCGGCACCTACACATTGAATTCATTGAATTCATCGATTTCTTTCGACATTCTTCTCGAAACCTTTAACATTCCTGCTCCTGGTTTCTGGCAGATTACAAATGGCGCACTACTCCCGAATTCTGCTTATTGTTGTGTGTCTTGTAGCCTGGACTATTTTTAAAACAGGGTTAGATATTTCCACTGTTTATTCACCCAAATCCTTCCACAATAATGTACCAAAAACGACCAGCGTAGAAAATAGCCACACGTCATACAATGATGAGGAAGGCGAAAGAGAACATCGGAGAGACGAACAGAACGGAGCTGCCAGGACTCAGGTAACATACTATTTACTCATTATCACATGTGTGTCTCGACCCGTGAAGATCCGGGGTAGAATCGGTCTTCAGCAACCCATGCTTGCCGTAAAAGGCGACTATGCTTGTCGTACGAGGCGACTAACGGGATCGGGTGGTCAGCCTCGCTGACTTGGTTGATGCATGTCATCGATCCCAATTGCGTAGATCGATGCTCATGTTGTCAATCCTTGGATTGTCTGGTCCAGACTCGATTACTTACAGACCGCCGTCATATAGCTGGAACATTGCTGAGTGCGGCGTTAAACAACAAACAAACAAACAATCAAACAATCACACCAATAGTAAAGGGACCCGTGAATATCCGGGGTAGAATAGGTCTTTAGCAACCCATACTTGCCGTAACAGGGGACTATGCTTGTCGTAAGAGGCGACAAACAGGATCGGGTGATCAGGCTCGGTCACTTTGTAGATGCATGTCATCGTATACCAATTGCGTTGATCGATGCTCATGATGTCAATCACTGGATTGTCTATACTTGGATCACACACCACCTCGTCTTTCACGACATATCGAAATAAAGGTGTTTATGTGTATAAGGGTTCAATGAATATTTCCTTCATTGAAACATTGTCAATTTGATGTATTATACATATCAGCTATTGGACTGGACGTCATACTGATACGTTAAAATGTTTGCAAACATTATTTACTGTAAAAAAATGAATATTTTGGGGGGATTTCTTTGTCGTGACGACTGATCACACAATTTCAAAAGAAAATATCCCTCACAAAAATGCATGATTCCTAACTTGTGTTGTTTAGTATACTACATGTTTTAAGAGTTTGAAAAACATGTTTGGTGTACTGTTATTTGTTTTACTTACATCGTTATTGCCTGTGGAGAGAATCCATTGTTATATAACAAATGTTGCAGTATAGAGATCAATAAAACCTACTGGGCTGCTTTCGTCAGACCAATATACCAATCAAAATTGATATAATTATTATCTCGAATTTCAATTTCTTTGTACGTATTATACATGGTTTCTGAATGAAAGACCGTGCACAACAGCCATTTTTGTCGAGGGCTATTCGAACTGGACAGTAGATTTTTTGTTCTAACGTTTTTGTCATTTGCGGAACATGCAGGCGACAGAGCACGTCCACAGCAAGTCTAACATCAGACCTTTTTGTCGAGGGCTATTCGAACTGGACAGTAGATTTTTTGTTCTAACGTTTTTGTCATTTGCGGAACATGCAGGCGACAGAGCACGTCCACAGCAAGTCTAACATCAGACCTTTTTGTCGAGGGCTATTCGAACTGGACAGTAGATTTTTTGTTCTAACGTTTTTGTCATTTGCGGAACATGCAGGCGACAGAGCACGTCCACAGCAAGTCTAACATCAGACGGCGGTCCGCTCAGGAGATGGCCAAGATCACGTTAGCTAAAGATACCCGGATGAAACAGGAGATGACTAAGTACATCTCAAGAACTGAAGCTGAGAGACAGATCAAAGAGCTGCAGGCTGAGCTTAACAGGTACGTCATAATAAAAGGAATATTCTAATATATCTAAAGTCGTTCAACAACACAAGAAAACAAGGGAGACATCCCTGACACTTCCTACTCTCGACTTTAACTAATGAACTTTTTTTCTTTTTTTACTAACAGCTTATGGTTGTCAAAATCAAGTTTGTGCAATGGGAAAACTGAAAATCGCCAGTTTCCGCATTTTTCCAAATGATAGCCTAAAGGTTCAGCGCGGTTATTGGACGGATTTGTTTTTTTATGACGTCAATGGCACACTGGCCTGACGGGTCGATAAATACTAATATAACACGATGAACGGTAGATGAAGGTGTGTGACTGCAACATCTAATACGAGGGGTAAAGATGTAAAGCAGAGCATGCGAAATACAATATATACACACACACACACACACACACACACACACACACACACACACACACACACACACACACACACACACACACACACACACACACACACACACACACACACACACACACACACACACACACACACATACATACATACATACTAACCGACAAAAGAAACACGAACCATACAAACATTAGTAAAATAAGTACGTTAAGAAGAGATGTTTCCGATTTGAACCATTTAATGATTAACCAACAATCAGTCAAGTGTTTCAGTGAGAGTCTATATTCTCACCACGATATGCTGCTTGTCATAGGAGATGTTTATCTCATTATATGATTTATTATCATTAAATCATTATTATTTAACAACGTATTATGATAATGTATGTGTGTTTTTTGGAAGGTTGTTCAACCGCAAGGCCCAGAGCTATGACGAAGACAAGAACATCACACTAAGTCAAATGCTCGCCCACGTGAAACAGAATCATCAACCACCAACTAATCATGACTTCGGCTTTGATGTAACATCTAGTGACCACACGCCGGTTAATCGGACTTTACCAGACCTCCGTCACGATAAATGCAAACTCGCGAAATTTGATCTAACTTCCCTCCCAACGGTGACGGTAATTACGCCATTTCACAACGAGGCCGTAACGATGCTGTTACGCCACATACATGCTCTGGTTAATAACTCACCACCTCAACTGCTCAAAGAAATCATTCTCGTAGACGATGTCAGCAGTTTGGAAAATCTCGGCGAAGATTTAGAAACATATGTACGTGTGCTCGATAAAAGAATAAAATTAATTCGCAACAAGGAAAGACAGGGCGTGTCAAGGTCAAGGATGGCGGGAGCTGACGCGGCTACGTCGGAAGTGCTGGTGTTTCTAGACTCGCACATGGAATGCACTACTGGATGGCTAGAACCGTTGGTTGCAAGGCTTGTCAGCCAATCAAATCTGGTGGTACAACCACTGTTACCTAATATCTTTACTGTGGAAAACTCATATGTCGAAGAGAACATGAGGGGAGCTTTTGACTGGGACTTAAGGTAAAAGACAATTTACTTCAATAATAGGTTTTTTGGTTTGATTTGTTGTTTAACGCCGCACTCAGCAATATTCCAGCTGTGTAATCGAGTCTGGATCAGATAATCCAGTGATTACTATCATGAGCATCGATCCACTGAGATGTGACTGAGTGAATTAATGCTTTTGAAACACAATGCTAGACATGTTTAGGCCTCTAAACGCCACAACATTATTGGACGTGTTAAGGTTTGTGTTTAGACCCGCGAAGATCCGGATTAACATTGGTCTTCACCAATCCATGCTTGTCGTGAGAGGCGACTAACGGGATAGGTTGTTCAGTGACTTGGTTGATGCATGTCATCCAATCCCAATTGCGTGGATCGATGCTCGAGATGTCAATCACCGAATTGTCTGGTCCAGACTCGATTATTTACAGACCGCCGTCATATAGCTGGAATATTTCTGAGTTCGGCGTAGAGCAACAACAAACAAACAAACAGGTATGTGTTTAGTCTCTTCGTGAGGGAAGCAACCTACGTAGAAGATACTGTGAGGCGTTTGAGGTTCAGGGGGCGTTAGGGAACAATGTCAAAAGATCAAAATCGTCCTACATATCATTCGTCACCACTCGCCTCTTTCCGTAACCTGCAAAAAGACTCGTCCCCCTCTCGGTGGAAATACCACAAACCAATCCAATCCCTCGGGAATAATTTTCGATTTTACTTATTATGTCTTGCATCTAAAATTATACCCTAGATACAGTTAAATGTGATCATACTGTATAAAATACCATAAGTCCGATGTGTTAAATAGCATATGGACGATATGTGACATGGAGGAAATGAATCGTTACGCAACGAGCTGATAATTCTTTTAACTATGCCCGTTTGCGCTTCGACTAAACCCAGTCGCAAAAATGGCCACGAGAGGGGCACGAGTCGCTATTCAGCTTGTCCCGGAGTAGGTTACGAATGCCTTACATATGTGACGCCTGCAACAGGAGGGTCCATCGAGTCAGAGTCCCAAAACTACCTTCGTAAGGGAGTGAGTGAGTTTTGATTTTACGCCGCTTTGAGCAAAATATTCCAGCAATATCACGGCGGGGGACACCAGAAATTGGCTTCACACATTGTACCCATGTCGGGAATCGAACCCGGGTGACGAGCGAACGCTTTAACCACTAGGCTACCCGACCGCCCACCTTCGTGAGACTGAACATAAGGTGGCGCCACCATAGCTACACATATGTGGGATTCTCTCACTCCTATATTGATTAATTTATTTCAATTGTGTAACAATTCTGAGTAAAGTACAAATTCTAATACTTTTCGGTTTAGTGCCATCTCAGAGTGAGGTACCCAATTGTCAGCACACAAAGTGCTCCAATTGTGTAGCGTTGTGTCTATTTGTTCTTTTCGATGAATTGCAAGTAAACGGTTGACTGTATTCAGAATTTTTATTGGAAATCATTTAATAAGTGAAGATGTTAAGCTACGTGAGCCACAAATGAATGAATGTCAGGCTGTTTGTAAACCCCGGTGAAGAAATTACCCCATTAGCCCGTGAGGCGCAATGCTTATATAGTCAGCATCCCATTTCTTAAACATTTTTCTTAACTTATAAGCAGCAGAATTTCTGCTCTTATTATGCTACAGTGAGTGAGTATGGTTTTAGGCCGCTTTTAGCAATATTCAATCAATATCACGGCGGGGGACACCAGAAATGGGCTTCACACATTGTACCCATGTCGGGAATCGAACCCTGGTCTTCAGCGTGACGAGCGAACGCTTAAACCACTAGGCTACCAGACCGCCCCTATTATGCTACAGACGTAATTCATAATTAACAGTTTTTACTTTCAACAAATCTATAATGCGTAATCGTATCACTGTATTTTCTGGTCTATCACATGATTGTCTGGTCCAGACTCTAATGTTTACAGGCCGGCGTGGTCAGGCAACAAACAAGCACTCACTACTCTATGCAAATTGTGTTGGATGTGCTTACACTTTTCACGAACTCCCTGTATCATCTGATTTTCAATGATTCCTCCATATAATTTTCCCCGCTATTTTGGTTTACGCCCTGTGTAGTCTGTTTCGGCACGGGGTACAGGGTATTCTCTGGTGTTGACGTTCTATATTAACAGAGGAATATGACGGGCAGTCATCTTCTAGCATAGTTTTCCTCATCTTCACGAGGCAAGAGTGTTAACTGACTTTAAAAGTCCAGTTTCCACCCTTGCCGAACTAGACTGGAATTCCTGGGCTCGATCGTAGCGCCACCAGTGGCTATTATACGCCTCTCCTATGGACAAATCAGATCCACCTCTCGTATCACTTTCATTTGTTTCAAACAAAATGGCGACGCTTAGTCAAGACGATCTGATCGTTAATCAATGTCTATATTGCGATAAAACGGGTCGTACATAGCGAAGTGCATCAAATCATGCGAGCACCTTGATTACAAACATGAAAATATCTGGAAAATATCTGTTGACAACGAAATGGCGGTGCAAATGCTTTGCAAATCCAGCAATCGACCGAAATCTGCACGACAGTTTACGAACCGGATTTCGATTTCGTTGCGCGGTTTTGATTGGACTATGCATAGACTCGTTAGTCCAGCGAAAATGTTACTCCATAATACCAGACTATTTCGGCAAAGGTGGAAACTGGACTTTTATTGTCAGTTAACTCTCTTGCCTAGGGAGATGAGTTTTCCTACCTTCCTGTACTACCTAAGGTGTCATTCTGTTTGTACAGGTACTTAAGGGGGAGACCATTTGATAGTCTTAAGGATGAAGGGACTGAGATTTTGCATGGAGAGTTGATTTTTACTTTCAGCTACAACGGAAAAACCAGATATTTGTTACAATAAACTACGGTTATAACGAACACAAAGGGACCACTAATTTTAGTTCGTAATAACTGTAGTTTGTTATAAGCATATACAGCATATATGCAACAAATGGCCGGGACTAAAACATAAGTTCGTTATATCGGTCAGTTCGTTATAAGTGTGTTCGTTATAAACGTAGTTTACTGTATTAAAACCGTGAGTCTAAATAAGGTTGGAATATCAGATGTTCGGCCCCTTAGTACCTGCCGTTGTGTGTAACATGTAAAAGAAACTACTAACTAGTTTGGGTATCTTTAAGCGATGCGTCCTTAACTGGAAGTCTTTTGTATGTTATGATGTTAATGTTATGTATCTACTTTACAGTTATGCCTGGTCTCCCACACCGACGTACATAAAGCTACCCGCCGAGGCGCCTTTCCCAACCCCCGCTCTCACCGGCTGTGCTATCGCGGTAACAAAACAGTACTTTTATCATCTCGGGGGGTTCGACCCCGCGTTTGAGATCTGGGGAGGGGAACACTTTGAACTGGCGTTCAGGACGTGGATGTGCGGCGGGCGTCTTGAAGTTGTCCCTTGTTCTATGGTCGGACACTTGTACAAACTTCTCACACACGACTTTCTGGGAGACGGTAAAATCATACGGGCTAAGAACAACTTACGAGTTGCTGAAATATGGATGGACGAATATAAGGAATTCATATATGCTTCCTACAGATCAAAACTTAAATTACCGACCTTTTCTGAAAAAGAATTGAAATCTATCGAGGCCAGGAGGGAGCTCAGACGGAAGCTGAAATGTGGTAGCTTTAAAAACTATATAGAAATGTTCCCGGAGCTTATAGTCCCGCCGAAAGATAGTTTATATTTCGGTGCAGTGAAGAATACCAAAACCTCCTACTGCTTAGTGGTACAGCCCAATGGCTACGTTGGAGTAGGGGACAAGGAGTGTGGTGGTTGGAGAATACTCCCCGAGGAACAGTTCATTATTGATAGAGAGGGGAGGTTGATGCTTGGGGAACTGTGCATTGGTGTGGATGGAAATACGACGTTGTTAAGAGCTAATAAAAATAACTGTGATAATTCAAAATGGAAGTGGACGTTGAATTCTCGCAAAAGACTGGGCACAGGGTTGCTTGAAATCACCGGTCCTGCTGGCCGTTACTGTGTGGTGCATAATCGAGGTGACACCCAGGGAAAAGGTGTGGTTGAATTGGCATCGTGTAACACAACTTCTAATCAGGTGTGGTCATTTGCTCATAAATTTGATTTTGGCGTCAGTCGTTAAGGACTGTCGCACAATACATTTGTATAAAGTGAAACCCCGCCAGTCCGGACCCCTTTAATATGGAAACCCCACCTTCCTGGAGATTATTGTTCAGAACGTGTACATATACACAAAAGGATGATACTCAATAACCAGGGCGGTGGGGTAGCCTAGTGGTTAAAGCGTTCGCTCGTCATGGCCAGAGTTCGGATCCCCACATGGGTACAACGTGTGAAGTCCATTTCTGGTGTCCCCGCCGTATATTGCTGGAATATTGCTAAAAGCGGCGTAAAACCATAATCACTCTCAATAACCATCTTTCTTTAAACTTTTATTTCGGTTATCAGGAGGAGTTGGGGCGGTACAGTCTGCAGCAACGAGGTTTCACCGTATACATAACCGTGTGTTGTTCGTGAAAACCCAATGGCTTGTGAACATTGATCTGCAAACTGATTGTGCCCTGTAGCTGTTGTAACATCATGGCATAACATATATCTTTGTGTAAATAAAATCATTCATTGTAATTTCAAATATAAAGTGTTTTAATTTTTTAATATTCAACGTCACCCAATTCCCGAATCACACGTAATATGATCCCAGTTACGGTTGAGAAATAATGAAGGGAGGTGGCAAAGATCGATATATGCGTGAGAAACTGTCCTTTATGTAATCGAGATGTAGAGGACGAATATCATTTTCAATTTGTATGTGCTACTTTTGATGCTATCGGAAGTAAATATCTACCAAAGACATGTAAATCTAATGTAAATAAGCATACATTTAAAACAATAATTGCTACAAACGATACAGAACATATAAAATTACTGAGCCTGTTAATTTATCATGCGTATGAAAGAAGAAAGTATTTGTTAAATGTTTAAAATGATGTATATTGACTCTACTATACTTGCAAACTGGTCTTTGGATATGGCCTATGGCCTTCATACTGAGTGAGTATTTGAGTGAGTGAGTGAGTGAGTGAGTGAGTGAGTGAGTGAGTGAGTGAACAAGGTGTGACAATATCTAAAACAGAGCGATAACACTCTCACTCTCAGTCCTCTCCTGGTCCATGGAACTGCAGTCACTCATACAGATTTAGCCAATTTGGTAACAAAAATTAAAGAAATAAGAACCTGGCAAAGTTGCTTGGGATTTTAGGCTGTTTGATTTGACTCTTTTTATTGTCATTTGTGACATGTCTTTTGCAAAAAGGTCTCTTTTTCAGAGCCCCCATGTGTTGGAAAAGGTCTCCAGAAGTAAATGCTTGTCGTAGGGGCAACTTCATGTATCGGGGGTCGGGCTCGCTAACTTGGTTGACAGTGTGTCATCATACCTAGACGGCGTGAGATGTTGCTCATAATATCAATCACGGGTATGTCTCGATTATCTGCGGCGGTAAAAACACAAAATTGAAATCGACGACCTATTCAAATCAATGGACTGAACTCAGTATTTTCGCTAACTCCAAAGTGCTCGCGGTTAAGTTTTTCGTGGAAGAATGGAAATAAACACACTGTGTTATGTGCCCAGAGAGGGGGCATATGTTCTGGATAGTTTTCAGAAAGAAGTTATACATCGGTCCTTTCACAAACTGTATGAGCGCCAAGTCCTACAGCGAAGGGATCAAGAACACAATAAATATGTCATTATCGTTTTAACGTTTTTCATTAACGTTTTTTTCTCAATGGACCTTAGTTTAAAATGACTTTTCAAAATATATTTTCCGGGCATCGAACACTCACTAACATCCGCAAATCTGAAGAACACTTCGTGTTTATCTCCTAAGTAACGTAATTTAGGATTTCAGATCAGTCGACGACTAAACATTGAACCAATATCGGTCACTTGTTATTTGATTGTGCACATAACTGAAAAGTGTAACACAAAATATTCAACTGATGTATTATGAACGTCAAACTTGCATCGGTAAAATATAACATTTGAAACCATTTTAGTTCTAAGCTGCAAAAGAAAGTATACACTTGAAAATTGTATTTGACAATATCAAAAAGTTACAAGGCCGAAACACAACTATGATACCCGTATCAAAGACGTCGCCATCGAATAGGTCGGTCAAATATCTTGACTTTTACATTTGTAGCCACCAGCAAATGTGGGTGTATACTTTCTGTGGCCCGGCAGTACATTTCCGTCACTATTATGTTGAATCACTAGCTGGAAGAAGTTAAATATAGTCATCCATCCATATTTCGGCAACACGGAAAATGTTTTGGGTTATAATTTCACGCGCTGCATTATTATTTACATAAGGAGGACTCCGAAATAAGTGACCCACTTTCGAACATGAAACTATTTCAACTATTCGAAGTGTTCACCTCCCCATAGTTCAAGATGAGGATCAAATTCGCCATTTTTGAAAAAAGTAGTCCCTCCTCATAGCAATGGCACATTCGACTAAGCCTGGCGTAGGCATAGGCACATCGGCAGTAGGGTAAGCTTGTGTAGATAGGAAGGGAGGAAAAACATGGAAAACATGTAAATATATTACGTCAACGTCTCGATTGTCTGCCAGAACAGATTCCATTGGCAAAATAGCGGAGAAAAATATATGAATGGATCACTGAAAATCAGTGATGACACCAGGTGTTCTCGAAAAGGGAATTATGTTGAATCACTCGCTGGAAGAAGTTAAATAAAATGTTATTAGATATGTTTTCTTCTGATTAACGAGTGACATGTAATTGCATTCACAACTCGAATACATCAAAGGCAGTTCAGTACATTGCAACATCATACACATCAAGTCTTTGAAAGGCATTTAGAAGTGATACACAAAGGAAGAGAATGTATGGATGTCAACTTCTTTATTATAAGGAACACAACGTTTCGGAGTTTATACTTACTCCTTCATCAGGTGAATGAATGCTATGAGGTAGAGAGCATTTATATGTACACGTGAGAACAACAAAAGTAATAAAATAACAAAAGGTGGAAACTAAACAAGTGAAGCCAAAAGATAATTGGTGCTGATAGGTGATTAACAATGGGCAAAGGAAGACAACACTTTACAGTAATTAGCGGTGGTAGTTATGGATAAATGGAAGCCAGGACTTAATTTATACACGATGATATGATAACCGAACTTATGAATATCGGAATTGTTATTTATGTTTCCAGTCAAACTGATAAGTAAATCTCCAGAGCTTTCTTTTTGTCACACAGCTGTAGTTCAACCCATCCGATATTTCCTGCGGTAGGTGGCGCTGTTACAGCATGCGCGAGACACAACCGCCCTCTACTTCCTGTTTGCACGATTCTTCCGTAATTATCAGGATCCATAGTCCAAGACGAATTATTTTTTACTACATGACAATTTGCGTCACTGAGTTTTAATACCTGCGTGTGGTCATCTTCATAAACACATTTATTGTCATGCACAAATCTACCAAATCTGTCAATTGTAAAATATATTCCTGGTAAACTAACACCTTTTGGTAGTTGCATTTTCGTCAAACCAAGTTTATTTTCATCTGTCACGGCTAGAGCATATGATGTATTGGCATTCATTACCTCCCCGAAATACAGCGCGTCAGTAGACGGTATCCCAGCCTCGGGCATCACGTGTCTAAGGAACCAGTCAAAAGATTTACACTTAAGAGTCTTTCGAATCTGCCTCCGCTCTTCGATTCTGTCATCGCTGTGAAAACTGGGCATTCGGAACATCTTCTGACAGCATCCTCGTATGGCCGAGAACACGATGTCCTTATAGTCATCCATCCATATTTCGGCAACACGGAAAATGTTTTTGGTAATAATTTCACGTGCTGCATTATTATTTACATAAGGAGGACTCCGAAATAAGTGACCCACTTTCGAACATGGAACTATTTCAACTCGACCTCCGCACATCCACGTGCGGAAGGATAACTCGAAGTGTTCACCTCCCCATAGTTCCAGATGAGGATCAAATTCGCCATTTTCGAAAAAGTAGTCCCTCCTCATAGCAATGGCACATCCGACTAAGCCTGGCGTAGGCATAGGCACATCGGCAGTAGGGTAAGCTTGTTGTAGATAGGAAGGGAGGAAAAACATGGACATTCTGAAAAATAGTTATTAAAAGAATATTTATTTCAAAGACATCAATAATTATACTCCAACACACACACACACACACACACACACACACACACACACACACACACACACACACACACACACACACACACACCACACACACACACACACACCTTTTTATGTCTTATGGTTTCTTTGCTTGAGCACCCCACACAAAATCATTTCTTTACATTTGGCATTGATGATACTGATTTATGTTAATATATTACGTCAACGTCTCGATTGTCTGCCAGAACAGATTCCATTGGCAAAGTAGCGGAGAAAAATATATGAATGGATCACTGAAAATCAGTGATGACACCAGGTGTTCTCGAAAAGGGTATTATGCTGAATCACTCGCTGGAAAAAGTTAAATAAAATGTTATTAGATATGTTTTCTTCTGATTAACGAGTGGCATATAATTGCATTCACAACTCGAATACATCAAAGGCAGTTCAGTACATTGCAACATCATACACATCAAGTCTTTGAAAGGCATTTAGAAGTGATACACAAAGGAAGAGAATGTATGGATGTCAACTTCTTTATTATAAGGAACACAACGTTTCGGAGTTTATACTTACTCCTTCATCGGGTGAATATAAATGCTATGAGTCCGAGAACATATTTATCTACATGTGAGAACAACAAAAGTAATAAAATAACAAAAGGTGGAAACTAAACAAGTGAAGCCAACAGATAATTGGCGCTGATAGGTGATTAACAATGGGCAAAGGAAGACAACACTTTACAGTAATTAGCGGTGGTAGTTATGGATAAATGGAAGCCAGGACTTAATTTATACACGATGATATGATAACCGAACTTATGAATATCGGAATTGTTATTTATGTTTCCAGTCAAACTGATAAGTAAATCTCCAGAGTTGCGATCTGTTCTTTTTGTCACACAGCTGTAGTTCAACCCATCCGATATTTCCTGCGGT